TGTTCTTCTAGGATCAGAGCATCCTTAAAGGATGGAATTTATTGGACGTTTAGTATACTTTGTATAATCAGTGTTTTCTGCAAGGTCACAGTGGACCCAGTGGCAGAAATTACGCAGCTGGGCTGTCCTGAGGAGTCAGGTGTGCTGTGTGCTGGGGGCCGAAGCAGCTGGGGATGGCTAGAGTGCCCTGGGAGTCGGAGTGTCCTGGGACATCAAGACGTCCTTCCCTCTAAGGTTGAATAGTCCTAGAAGGCAGCGTGTTCATAGGCTCGAAGTAATGTAGGGTTTACATCATACAGGGGAATTTATGAGTCCTTACAGGGACCTTATTCTCTAGGACCTCAGGGAGTCCTTGCGTAATCAGAGTACTGTCCTGTGGGTTCACCTGGTCTCAGGGTGGAAAGCACACTTGTGTGGCTTCCAAGTGTTTCGCAGGATTAAGACATTCAAAACAGAATGCCCTGAAGGGGCAGGGGGTGGTGTTCAGAGGACTCCAAGAGATCCTATAGGATCAAATGCCTGGAAGGTAAAAGCCACAGAGTGGGCAACTTGGAGAGTCTTGGGAAGGCAGAGGTTATGGAGAGACAGGACGTCGTGGGCGGGAGGGTGTTCTGGCCTCAGGATTTTTATCACGTCAGAACATTCTTGAAGTGTCCTTACAACACTGACTTTGAGGTCAGAGCGTGCTGGATGATCAAACTGCTTTCACAGAATCGGGTTGTCTTGGGGGCGGGGCTGCGGTGCTTCAGAGACTCCTGGAGAGTCTGGGTGCCCCGAGCTGGTGGAGTTTCCAGGTAGGTCAGCGCATCCTGCTGGTGTCTGCATGTGCAAATCAGCTATTCTCAGGAGATCTAAGTTATCCAGAGAACTGGGGGTCCTTGCGCGTTTGAAGAGACTTGAGTGGACCTGTCATGGAGTAGAATGTGACAGGTCCTTGTACAGTCAGAGGAACCTCGGGAATGAGAGGGTCATGGAGGAGAAGAGGATGCCAGGCAGGAGGGATGGTGTCCAGGAAGTCAAGATGTTTGGGCAGTTTGGGGAACATCGTGGCATCAGTGTTTGGCAGGGAAAGGTTTCCTTGAACATCCAGGATTTCTTGAGGATCAAAATAATCACCTTATGGATTCAGGAGGTCCTGGTAGATCAAAGCTGTTCTGGGCTGTCTGTGTTGGGGGTAAGGGGAAGTGGCAGCTTAGGGGACCTGCTGAGAAGTCCAGGGCTGAGGGAGTCAGAGGGCACTGAAAGGTTCAGGTGCCCTGGCATCAGAAGTCCTGACGTGCCAGGGCACATCGGATGGTCAGGATGCCCTGGGAGAGTAGGACATGTCTGTCCCTGGTCCGAGTGTCCTGTGGGTCAGGCTGCATGAGCAGAAGGCCTCCTGGGTGGGGCTTGGGGGATGAGTGGTTTTCAGCGTCAGCACATTCTTAGTAAGATTAGAACCAGCCACGGGTTCTGAATGGACTGAAGGGCGGGATGCTCTTGAGCACCTGGATCCTTGTAGGTCAGAGAATTCCTTGTTATAGGGTCAGGGTTTCCCAAATCTCTACGGGTCTGGATGTCCTAGGGTTGTGGAGTCATTGTGAGTTCAGGCTATCATGCTGCTTATAAGGTGGTAAAGTCAACATTTGTTGGAGGGCCCATGAGTTCTAGGGAGTGAATGTGTCCTTTGCACCCTCGGGAAGCAGACTGATCCTGAGGGCTACAGGCTCCTCAGAGCTCTGGTAACAATAATAATAGTGTAAAAGTGACATCGCTCCCGTGCTTACTACCTCAGGGTGCAATCCTGAATGCTCCCTCGCATTCTCATTCATCAGGTAGGTACAGGCGATCCTCATTATTTGTGGATGCTGTATCTGCAAATTCACCTACTCACTAAAATTTATTTGTAACCCCCAGTCAATACTCTTTTGCAATGCTCTTTGGCACATCTGCGGTTATTTGGAGCCATGTACATGCACCAAGGGGTGAAAAATTTGAGTTGCCACATTCCTAGATAAGGTCAAACAAAGCACTATTCTGCCTTCATGTCTCAGCTCTCATGCTGTATACAGCCATCTTTTTGCTTTCTATTTAGTGCTATTGTTTAGCTCTGGAGATAATTTTGCTGCTTAAAATGCATAAATGCTGAAGTGCTAGGTGGTGTTCCTAAGTACAGCAAGTCCATGACGAACCTTATGGAGAAAATACAAGAGCTTTTGCTCAGGCAGGAGTTACAGAACTGTTGGTTGGTTGCAAGCCCAATGTTGACGAGCTAACGATATATTTTAACTAAGGTGTCTCTAAACAGAAACACACATGCAACAAGGTTATGTATTGCCCAGTTAACAAAAATAGTGTGTCTAGAGACTTACAGGAACCTATTTTCCCTAGGAGCAATGGGTCAACATTCACCAATTCAGTGTTTGTAGTGACTTTATGCAGCATAACTTCAAATAAAGGGAGTCCACTGTGCTAGTCCTCCCGCCTGGCAAAGTGGCAGCACAGAGGCATGAAGTTGTGAGCTCAGGGCCACACAGCCAGAAAGGGACATTGAAGCCATGGCAGCCTGTCTCCGGAACCTCTGCTCTTCCCTCCCGCACCACTCTGCTTCTTATAGGACTAGAGTGTCCTGGGTCAGGCTCCTCGGAGGTCAGTGTTGGGGTGGGAGTTAGGATGCCCTAGAAGAACAATGCCTCTAAATACCCCAGCTGCCTGAGGGATTGTGATATTCTGGGATGTCAGGTCAAAATTATGGCATCTCAGTATCCTCAGGGAGCAGGGGCAGTGGATCGAACTGTCCTGGGAAATTAGGCCTCCTGGACAGTAAGAGTCCCCTGCAGGGTTAGGGTACCTTGAGTCATTAGGGTGTGTTGGATCCCAGTGTTTTCTTGTGGCTCCAAGTTGACTATGGATTACTGGGTCTCTGGAAGTCATGGCTGTCATGGAGCTCAGGCTGCTCTTGGAGGTCACAGGATATCTTGGGGTGGGGGAGGGGTTGGCGCCTTACATCAGTGCTTCTCAACTTTAGTTATCGAGGACTGAATGTTTGTGCTGCCCCCAAGCGGGTGAGTTGAAGCCCTAACTCTGATGGGGTGGTATTTGGGGACGGGATCCTTTGGGAGGTGAGGAGGGTTAGACGAGGTCAGGAGGGTGGGGCCCCATGATGGGATTAGTGTCCTAGTGAGAGGAGGAAGAGACACCAGAGGTAGTTCCCTGTCTGCAGTGTGCAGATGGAAGACGGCTGTCTGCAACTCTGGAGAAGGAAAAGAGGTCTCTGCAGGAACTGAGCCAGCTGACACTTGACTTTGTACTTCACAGCCTCCGGCACTGTGAGAAATAAATGTCTATTGGTTAAGGCATCCAACCTTCGGTTTTGTTTGTTTGGGTTTCTCTTCATTTTCTTTCTTTTCTCTCTCTCTCTCTCTCTCTCTCTTTCTTTTTTTTAATCAGTCTGAGTTGAGAAGACAACTGTACCTTCAGTTCTCTTGGGAATCTGGTGGCCATGCAGATTCTGACTCAGTAGCACTGCAGTGAGGCAGAGGTTCTGCATCCGAAGGAGCTGTCACATGTTTGTGACGCTTTTGGTCCATGGACCACCTTGTAAGCCTAAGATCCAAGAGGAGTATGATGGCTTTCTGCCTTAACTTGTCAGGGTGCTTTTAAACGGTGTGTGGGAAGGTTAGTGTGACCTTGGGATCAGACTGTTGTGTCAGTGCAGTGTGTTCCAAGAACGTTAGGGTGTCCTCCTTGGACCAGTATGTCCTGAGAGCTCAGAATGCCATGGTGAAGGCAGGGATACCTCCCAGTAGAGGTGGAATGTTCTGGGGGTCAGTGTGTCCTGGAGAACCCCAGAGTCCTGGGGCCTAAGGATGTGCCAGGGGTGTCAGTGTGTACTTCCTGGGTGAATGGAACCCCAATAAGCAGAACAGTGTGGGTGTCAGGGTGTCCTGACTGCTCAGGGGTTCTGGGTGTCCCTGGGTTTTCTTAAACAATCAGAGTGTCCGAATGTTGGGGGATCTCAGTCTCCTGCACAGTCCCGAGGCCCAGGGGGCTCAGCGTGCACCCGGAATTCAGATGCTTTTGAGGGTCGGGGTTTTCTGAAAGCCTGGGTGACCTTGGAAGGCCATGGAGTCCTGGGGCTCTGGGTGAATGAGGAGGTGACATTTGGAAGAGGAAAGCTAGGGTGTGCTGGACACTCATCCTACGGTTCATGTTGTCCTAAGACGGTGTCTAGTGTATTCTGAAAACCAAGGTATCTCAAAGGGGCCAGAATGCACTTGTGTCTTCTAGTTTTTTAGCTTTTTGGAAACAGGCCCGTGGGTATCCCCCACAGGCTGAGATGCCAGGCAGGCCCTGCTCCTGGCCCCCATGTGCACCCCCTCCCCCCAGGGGGGGTTCTGAGGAGGGGTCGGAGGAGGAATGCATTTTCTCCTCCTTCCTCTGCCTGCTCCCAGGAGGGGATTTAACCGGACAAAAGAACTTGGTCCTCTGGGAATACGAGCTCTTGGCCCCAGGCCCTGGACCCTCCGACAGAGCGCCTTCCCTCATCCAGCGTGTGATCCTCCCCTGACGAAGGGGCTCTGGTGGTCAGGCGGCGATTGGACGGGCCCACCAGGCGAGGCGGCGGCCACTCCTTCGACTCGGGGAGGCAGTGCGGGTGTGGGGTTGCAGGCTGGGCACTGAGGCAGCTGAGAGCAGAGGGAGAGGGCACCAGGAGAGAAGGGCCGGAGAGGAAAGCAGAGACAAAACCAGAGACACAGGGCGAGGGCGAGACAGAGAGAAAGAGGTGATGCTCCAGAGAAGGAGTGGAGAATTTGAAGAAAAAATTAGAAACAAGGAAAGACAGTGAAAAAGGCAAAGGTGTCTACCTATATCTACGGAGAGACCCAGGAGAGGTATAAACAGCAGCAGAAGCAGCGAGGGAACCGGCAGAGAGGGGAGCAGCAGGACTGAGAAAGACTGGCCCAGGGTTAGAGACCCAGGGACACAGGCTGGACTGTCCTGGGTGTCCGTTCCTGGGCATGGAAGCAGAAGGGACCGAGGAGCAGGGTAAGCCAAAGAAGGGGCGCGTTGGCAGTGGCCTCCGGCCGAGAGCTGCCGGCCGCTGGGACTGGGGCCTCCGCGGCGGGTGAGTGAATTTGGGGGCAGTCCTGAGGAGGCAGCGGGTGTGGGGGCTCCATGCCGAGGCTCCTGTGGGGCAGTGGTTTGCCACAGGAAGGGGAAGAAAAGAAATAAAAAACGGAACCTAGGAATGTTCAAACCACGGGAGCCTTAGCAAGCCTGGGGCACCTCCTTCGGTGTGTGGACGGGCCCTGGGGTGGGCCCTCAGGAGTGGGGACCCGGCACCTCTCTGAGCTGCGGACAGAGGCAGAGCTGCCACTGCCTCCTCACTCCTGGCCTCGCAGTTTGCCCCCTGCCCGGCCCTCTCCGAGGGAGGGAGCGGGAGGGGCTGGGGGTTGGGATCTGGGGCAGGCAGGGGACTGACTGGTGGCTCAGCGCATCTGGGCCCCCAAGGTGGACAGCGAGCGCTGGTGGGGCCTTGCCCCTGGGTCCCCGTGGGCAGGGGGCCCCCTCCAGACAGCTCCTGTCCTCAGTGCGTGCCTTCCAGGTGTTTCTTTTTGCTCCCTGTTCTCTCTTCCCCCACTGGCTCTCAGACTAATTAGTGTGGGGGCTTAGTGAGCCTGTGGGAAGGACAGGCAATCCTTTCCCACGAGCTCAGGTTCCTGCAGCCTAGTGGCCCAGCCAGGGCCGGAAGAGGGGAGAAGGTGAGATGTCCGGCGGGGGTGGGGGGTGTTCTATCCTCCCAGGTGAGGGGTGTAGGAGGGTGGGAGTGGTATAAAGAAGAAGGTAAATGTGAACTGTGAGAGCCGGGACCAGCGGAGGGGTCTTGGACAGAGACCCGGGTAGTTCGTTAGGGTGTCAGCGCAAGTGGAGACCCACAGGCTAGGGGGGCAGCCTGTGTGCTCAGAGAGGTGAGACGCGCATGGCGGGGCAGCGCGTTCCGTGGGGACGTATCTGAGCCGTAGGACGGGGGTGGGCCTGCCCTGGCGGGGCGAGGCCGCTGCAGCAGCAGTTCCCCGGATGTGAAGTGAGTCTGAAGAGCCGGTCCTCTGTGGCCAGGGCGGCCTGGCTCAGGAGGCGCAGGTGGCGCAGGGCCTGGGCTGAGCCGGGCTCAGCTGGCTGCGGAAGCTCAAGGGCCTCTGCATGGGCCAGGCACATATGCGCAGCACGGAGGCGCTGAACAGAACCCGGGGGGACCAGCCGACGGGGCCCGGGAATGGACGGCGGGTCCAGCGGGCAGCAACCTCTCCCTTCCCGCCCGCCCCCAGATGTGAGCGCGCAGCCCTACAGGAGCCTCTCTGATGCAGGAGCGGGGAGACCAAGGCTTTCTCCGCAAGGAGGACAGCGAGGCCACCCGCACTCCCGGCGCCGGCACCGCACCACCTTCAGTCCAGCGCAGCTGGAACAGCTGGAGTCAGCCTTTGGGAGGAACCAGTACCCTGACATTTGGGCCCGAGAGGGCCTTGCCCGGGACACTGGCCTCAGTGAGGCCCGAATCCAGGTGATGCCCCAGGAAGCGCCCCCGGCCCCCGCCCCGTCCACCCCACTTCCTCTGGGAAGAAGTGCAGTTTCGGTGTAAGGAACTACGGGGACACACCTTCTCGCGGGCATTCTAACCCTGCGCCAGCAGCCCCCACGCGCAGCCTAACCGGCAGTCCGCAGAACGCCGCCCGCACTGCGGGCGCCGCGGGGGGGGGCCCACGCGCCCACCGCCTCTGACGTGAACGTCACCCCCTGTCCCCAACCTCCACAGAAATTCAGTCTTAACTTTTCACCTACATATATTTATATATGTATATATGTATTTTTACGTATATACATATATGTATATACGTATATACATATATGTATTTTTATATGTATAAAATATGTGTATATTTAACCATGGCCGCAAAACTCAACCAGTCTGATGCTCCCTCAGTTCTTGCCATGGAGTCAATAAAATTCACGTATAAACCCTATCTTAAATCCAACCCTGTCTATAACAATTAAACTCATCCATTGTCTTAATCTCTAATAACTCTAGGGGCGATTTCCTATTCTCTGGGGAGGGAAAAATGCCATTGTGTCATATTTCTCTCTCCCCCTCTCTCTCTCTCTTTTTTTTTTTGGAAGTTGAGATTTCTTACTCATCCAAAGCAATAGTAGGGCAAATTTAGATACAAGTTGGGGATAATAGTATTTGTCTTGCTTTCTCGATAGGCCTGGCTCAGACCTGCCTCTGGAGAGCCTGACTTCCCGCGATGCTGTGGGAGGGACCCGTGCCTGGCACCTGCACCTTCTGTCCTGAGGGGAAGGGGTGCATGGGACGGTGCCAACTCTTTGAGCGAGGGGCTCTGATGCGGCTCTTCTCCCCCTTCCCCAGGTCTGGTTCCAGAACCGCAGAGCTAAGAAGAGGAAGCAAGAGCGGTCCCTGCTCCAGCCGCTGGCTCATCTGTCTCCTGCCACCTCCTCTGGTTTCTTGCCCCAGGCCCCTGCTTGCCCCTACTCCTACTCAACACCGTCTGCAGCAGGGACCTGCTTTCCTCACCCCTACAACCATGCCCTTCCCGCTCAGCCCTCTACAGGTGGTTCTTTCACTCGACCCCACCAGCCTGAAGACTGGTACCCCACCTTGCACCCGAACCCCGCTGGTCATCTGCCCTGTCCCCCACCCCCACCCGTGCTTCCCCTCAGCCTTGAGCCACCAAAGTCCTGGAACTAAGGTCAAACAAGTGCTCCGGTCTTCAGAAAACACAGAGGAAACCGGGTGGTTCCCATCCCTGCTAAGAGTAAAGTAGAAATATGGTGAGGGGCGGCTCAGAGGCTGGGAATTTACGCGTGGGTGATTGAGAGAATTTAGGGAGGTGAACCGGCTGGAAGGTATACAAAAGCCTCCGTGGAGGTGACTGGAGGAAGCTAATTTTGATGGGAGCTCCTGGTGAATGGAGGTGGGGGAGGGAGATGGAGCGTGCAGGGCTTCGTTTTTTGAGATCACGACTGAAGAGCTCCTCCCGCTGCTCCGAGCTGATTTCAAGAAGCCCTCTGATTTCGTCTGCCCACGCATTTCTTTCCTATCACCTGCCCCACCACCCAAGTCAGTCATTAACTTTCGCTCATTCTGCCCTAGAAATATCTCTTGCATTTATTCTTCTCTTCTCCATTCCAGCAGACACTGCTTTTGCTGGTTCAGTATTTTCTAATTCTCCTCATTGGTTTCCTTGGCTTCAGTCTTTTCCTATTTCCAACAGAACTTGCAGATCCAGTCATCAAAGAACAGCTCTCCAATGTCTTATAAATAATAAATAAGATCAGATTAGCTTGGCCTGTAAGAGTCTTTAACATTCTTTCAACCGAAATTGAAGTTAACTGTATTTTTTTTAGAGTTTATTTATTTGTTTTTAGAGAGAGGGAAAGGCAGGGAGGGAGGGAGAGGGGAGAGAAACATCAACGTGAGAGAGAAACATTGATTGGTTGCCTCTCACATGTGCTCCAACTGGGACTGAAACCACAACCCAAGCCTGTGCCCTGACTGGGAATCAAACCGGTGCCCTTTGGTCGGCTACACGATGCCCAACCAATGGAGCGACACAGATCAGGGCATGTTTGTTTCTTAATTGGAACAAAGGAAGAAGTTTTGTGTGTGTGTGCAGATTCCATAAAGACTCTCCAGAAATGAATATGGTCTAAGCAAAGCAGTTCCATTTACAGCACTGTTTTTTTTTTAATGCAGTTACATGATATAATTATAGCTTTTTAAATTATGAAACCCCTGAGAGATTGTACCTTCTAGCTGAAGTAAAGTATTTATAATAAATTGTGGCTTCAGATGCTATTTGCTGTTTTTTGGACCTTTAAGAAACATTCTTCATGAAATTCATAGAATTCCGAGGACAGGGTTTTTTTTTCTCATTCAGGTTTTACATTGCTTCAGCATGTATAAGAGACCTGGGTACGGCTGTGGCATTTCATATGCTTTCTTAGAGAGAAATGGAGGTTTTTTGGCCACTGACGATGTTTGTCATGTAATCAAACAACAGTTTATATAACTTGACCCTATTCTTTTTTATGTGTTTCTTTGGAGTAAAATGACTATGAGAGCCTCCGGAGAAACAGTCTTCAATCCCGTCTGGGTTAGAGCTGAACATTCCACATAGCAGCACCACTCCTTTCTCTTTTGCTAGTTTCAGTCCTTGTTCCACACACATAGGTTTTTCTTTCATATCAGTCAGTCTTGCTAAAGTCTTGGGGTCATCTCAGAGATCAATCTGAGTTCCTCTTAATGAAAAGGGTACATTTGGTGCATAGCCCTTAGGTTCTGGCACCCACTCCTCTATCATTTTGAAAGGAGGTTGTACTTACCACAGAGAAGCCCCTCAGGAAGCCATCAGTCACTGGATAAGATGAAGGCCACAGATGACCACAGTCCCCCTGTCAGGCCCTGTGACAGAATCAGTCCCAGGAGGCGCTGCTTGCTCCTTCCGGGGGCCGCCGTGACTGCTAGCGGTTGAGGAAGGCAAGCAGGTACTCCTCCCAGAGGGCGTCCCCAGCACAGCTCAGGAGTACGCATGGCCAAACTCCTAATGATGAGAATCCATAGGATTTACTCCCTTCCCAACGCCCCTCCTTACCACAGAGGGGTGTTAGCTATGGTCCTCATTTCATGTTGTACGTTACATCCCTGCCCCCCGCCCTGCGCCCTCCCACCCCCCACTCCACCACCACCTCTGATAACCACAGATCTGGTCTCTTTTTCCATGAATTTGGTTTTTCTTTGGTTTTTAATTAGATTTCACATATAAGTGAGATCATACAGTATTTGTCATCCTTTGCCTGACATCTTACTTAGCATAACATGCTTTCTAAAATCTGCTGCAAGCCACAAACACAATATTTATTAGGACACATTTAGATTGTATTTGTTGGCAAGCACCACAAACTTGAGCATCAGTGCACTTGTCCTGTGAATCACGCTGCCACCGACCGGCCTCCGGTCACGGTCCCTGCCCCACTTTGGTCAGTGCTTTTTCCAGGCATGGCCCTCTGCATGTTTTAACAGATGTGGTTTCTGATAGAGAAGTTTGATTTAGGGCAAACTTTTCCAAGAGCCAATCCCGAATCATGAGGCTCGTAAGAGGTCCCTCCCAGAAAAGAAGAAACTGCTGTGAAGCGCGTCAGTCTTCTTGGACATGGCGAGGACAGCCCCTGTGTCAGACCGGTGGGGTCAGACCGGGCTGCGGCTCAGCGGCCTCTGTGCTTGCGTTCTGGACAGGAAAGAATTCAGAGGTGAGACTCAACTGTAAGAGAAAGCTTATTCAGAAAGTCACAGAGGTAGAGAAAGTGAGTGGTAGAAGAAATGGGCTCAGGAAACAAGTTACAGAGGCAAGAGAAGGGTCCTTGGGGCTCAGGCCAGAGAAAGGTAAAGGTAAGGCACTGAGAGGAAGAGGCGGGGAGGGGAAAGACGCCAGGTGCCCCAAGGAGAGCCTGCTGGGTCCTCCGTCCTACGGGCTCTGAAGGGTGGAGCCTAGGGAAGGCCCCAGGGTGTCGGTACAGCAGTCCTTGGCTTTGCAGGTGTGTCCTTTCGGGGTCCTGGTCTGCAGACTGGTTGGTGCCGGGGCAGGGGGTCTTCAGTCAATGCAGCTGAAACACAGCTGAGGCCTGGACATATTTGATGCAGGTCAGGACCTCACTGTCCTGGGGGCTCCATGCTTAAGGGCTGTTCTCTGACCTCCTTGTTTGTTTCCCCTCTAAGGGAGTCTAACCCACATGACTAGCGACATGCCAGGGGAGGAGAGGTCACCCTGGGGGACAGGCACTTGTTTTCCCAGTGCTAGGCCCCACCTTCTGCACCTGGCCTGTCGTCCTTGTTCTGCTCATGTCGGCCTAAATGCCTGCCACAGGGCGGGCCCTCTCAATGATACCGATCGCTGGGCCAGACTTCAGGAGCAGACCGAGTGCGGGGAACAGGAGGGGTCCGCTGGAGATGGGGAGCTGCCTGAGGCAGCGGGCAGGGCTTCAGTGTCCGGGTAACCCAGCTGGTGTCTTGCAGACACTCTGCCCCTGGTGCAGAATGTCCTGCTCCTGGTGGCAGATCCTCCACCCCTGGGCAAGGTAGCAGCAGGGGGAGGTACTGGACGGAAGAAACCTGTCAGTCTAGCCTGAGGAAAAGAAGGGATTGCTTGGGGGATGGACCTTTCTGGAGTGCTTGGAAGTTTTGGCTGAGAAAGCACCTTGTCTTCCCAACATCGGAAACTAATATAAACTTGGAAAGGAATGGATGGGCTCTTTACCCACCTTGCAAACATAGAGGCTGGTACATGCGCAGGACCTTCTGATCCTGGAAGCCGCAAGGCCAATGGTGGCACTGGACCCTCATGCAGTTCTAGGAGGGAGCCTGAGACCTGACAGGGGCCAGGAGAAAAGCTGAGCTGCCTGGCTGACCACTCAGAGGCCACCTGCAGTTCCCGAACGACGTACCTTAAATGGGAGAAGGAACTCGGGATGCTGCCTTTGGTTTTGGTGTGGCTCAGGATGGCTGGGTTTGCCTCTGGGTTTCTGGAGGTGATGGGCTTTGAGAGGAAAGTCGCCATTCTCTCAGATCATGCAGCATCTGAACAGAAATGTCCTCCCTTCCTCACCATCCTCTGACTCTGGAATTTGCCTGTTGGTGACAACAGGCAGCTGAAACCCATTTTTGATTCAGTAACATGAACAGAAACATGGTGTAGCCAAGTGGATGGCACAATTTATATACCATATTGCTTATAATGTACTTATTTTACTCATAACTTATTTATATGTAGGCCTACCTTACTTACTGACTTGTTCAGAGATTTCTGAGTAAACAAGCCTCTAGGGATTGATGTTCCTGTCATTTGCAGTTGGTTATATATATTATTTTTAAAAGTCTAGAGCCAGCCCTGGCTGGTGTGGCTCAGTGGATTGAGTGCCAGCCGGCAAACCAAAGGGTCTCTGGTTCGATTCCCAGTCAGGGCACATGCCTGGGTTGCAGGCCAGGTCCCCAGTAGGGGGCAAAGTGGGGAAACCTCTGGGATTGCATAAAATGTAAAAGGAACGGACACGTACTTCTTTTGCATTGGCAGGTAAAGACTAGTTAACAGTCAGCAATTCACATGACAACAATAACAGTGAGGAGCTCTGTGGTCTTCTGCTCTTGTGGTAGATTGTGTACTGAGGGGTATGGAAAAAGAAAACGACCCTGACATCCCAAAGGTTGTTATCATAGTTGTAAAAAGACAATAGACAGGCTCCATTAGGATAAAGATTGACCTTAGACAGGGAAGATACCAGTTAGAACATGACTACCTGCCATGGCTTGCTTTTAGGTGGAAACTTTTAATTTCAGACCATCCTATCAGATCTTTTGGTGTCTGAGTTTGTAGGACCACAACACAGGTGTCCCCTGAGCTTGTCAGGTTTAGTATGTAGCCCCTTTTTGTCCACATATGTGTTACAACTATTTTTCACCGTTTGTTGTTTGTGTTTTAGCCTTTCTATGCAAGGGTTACCTGAGAGAATTAAGCCGTAATGCTTAAGTACCTATTGTATATAATGAATTAACTTCTGTTTTTAGCATCTAGAATGGTACCAGTTATATAGAATTGAGGAAAAGTCACTCAATTCATTTTCTGTGTTCTGTGGTTTGGATGAAGAACCTCAGGTGAAATATCTCCCCTTGTTTTTATGGCCTTGTGGTCATCAGCA